ACCCAGCCAATGATCCAATGCTGTAAATCGCGAATAATGTGACAGAGGACAAGGGATCAAGTACGTTCCATAAGGTCTTCATGACGGTCCGACCAAGTTACGAAAATAAGGTCAAACCAACACTAGAATATAACGCATGGAGTAGCACAGATATAGGGTCAATGATGAAGTGAAATAATTGAACCATGGAGATAAGAGATGGATTATACAGGACAAGAAAAAGCTGTTAGAACCTGGATGGAGAGGATTGGATACCAAAGGTAAAAACTGGGACAAACACTCCCAGCAGAATGGGAACCAGCGGGGAGTGTTAATATGTTTCCCTAAATCCGCTCAAAATGGCATAGCTTAATGGTGAAACGTCTGAGAGTGTACCAAGTACGTGGTACGACTGGTATTATCATGCATATTATGGACTCCGGACAAAGTGAGCTAATATAGGCCACTTTGGCAATAAGTATAAATTGAGAAAATAACATCAAGCAACTTGAATAAATGCTAGCTTAAAAAATGACGTACTAGCTTATAAATAGCTAATAAAGTAGTCGATAATAGTCGACGAACTGTTTAAACATAAAGGATGATAAACAAGAATAAATATAAAAATACCTTGAGTTTAACAGAGCTACAGCAACCTGTACATTGAAGCAAGGCCGAGGCTCGTCTAGAAAGCACGTCCTTAATACCACAGCCCCTCAGATGTATATAGCCAGCAATGTCGGAGAATGAGTGCGCGATTTGAGCATTAAAGATAAGACCAAATTCATGATGACAACGAGCACAAGAAATCCAACGAGGCCTTGATTGAAATTGTTGATCAGGTACGGAAGGTTTATTCACGCTAGAAATACCTGAAGGAGTAGGCTTAGTGATGGGGAGATCAAAGCGCCATTCAAACTCGAGACGACAGCGTTCGCAGACAACTAGAACGACTAAGTCAGTAAAAAGGAAAGTTCCAGCTCGTCCTTTTAGATTAAATTTGGCAAGTCTAAGAGATTGCCCATGAGTTGAATCATGTTCTGTAAAAACATCCAGGTTTTGTTGCACACGGGATTTTTCTTTTTCACTAGATGCCGTATTTGAGCTGACGATCACGACAGATTCACTTTCAATGTTAGAGGGATCTGAAGATGAATCCGAATTAGAATCCGAATCAGGGCCACTTTTTAGCTCATACTCATCTTCCCCATCATCTTCATTTTCGCAACCTTCATCATCTGCATTTCTTAAGAGAGGGATGGCTGCTTCTCGGGAGGGACTCTTCAGCAAAGAGTCTTGATACTAAATAGAATAGATTTTAAGATGTAAGTACATTCAAAAATTTTAATGGCAAGAAAGGAGAGCAATCAAATAAATGGCCACTAGATGTAAAGCATGAGATTAAAAAACCGATAAAACAACTCATTAAAATAAAATTCGAAAAAACGAGTTACCTTTTTGAAGCCACTCATGAAGAGTTCTGCAAGGTTCCTATCAAACCAGCTGAAAAATTGGCTAAGGTAATTTTCGAGAATGCCATCAGCCAACATTCCCTCGTGTTTGACAGAGATCCAACTGGTAATCGATGCACCCAGATGACTGTAGGAAAAAAATACTTGTATAATATAGCAAATGCATGAAGGAACGAGTTAAAGGCAAAGGATGATGGTAACTTACGAGAGGAGTATCTCTGGAATTGCCCTATTGGGAAGAACTTCTATCAGCAAAGGATGAAGCGGATACTCTTTATGAAAATTTAGTGACAAAGTTAATCCTTGAACAAGAAAGGGCTGGAACGTAGAATTTTTAAATAACGACCAAAACATAGCATCCAAGTGTAGCGAAAAAATAAATAATTGATCCGTAAATAATTACCCAATCAGGATCAGTAGGCTTGAAAAGGAGGGAGAAAGTAGTTCCCCCATCTGAATCCCCAATAAGCTGCACAAGGTTTGGGGGAAACCGTTTAAGTAGATAGTCGATATCTCCAGCACTCAGACGGGAAATTTCATCTTTGCTAGCAGTCTGCAATTTGACAGTAAAACGTGTAGGCCTCCTAACATAACTCCTTCGAGATGTCGACAAATCAGTATCTTGAATTTTCAATCTCTGAATTAGGCATTCAGAAAGTGAGTCCGCCTCGCTTTTTGGAGAAACGGCTTTCTCAAGATATCGGTTAGGGTACATTTCGAGGTAATGCTTATCAAACGCTTGGATTAGATCAGAAGTCGGTCGAGAGTTATTAGACTTTAAGTTGATATGTTCGTCTGAGTTAGAATAGGCGTCCAGACCCGTCTGTTTTGTATTTAGCTCTTCTTTATATTCATTAATAGTACGAAATTTTGAGTCGCTTAAATGAGTTAAATCATGAGAAAAAAAGCAATTATCGCCATATTTGCATTGACCGTTCACAAAAAAGCTGCAAACTCTTGAAAAGACATATTTTTTTTTGGATACATTTCTATCA